CCTGGAGAAGCAGGCCAGGGAAGTGTCCAGCCAGAGTGGGCTCCCCTGGGCGGGAGAGGGGCCTGGAGTGGCCTGGCCCTCTCTGGGGCCCCCCTCACACACCTGCACCTGGCAGCGCTGTCTGAGGGAGCAGGTGGTGCCTCATGTTTGCAGGCATGTCCATGTGCTGTGTGCAACACTCGTCGATCTGTGTGGGTTGTGCGTGCGCCCCTGTGCTCTGTCTGCTTCCAGTACTGCCGGGGGGAGGGAGGGAGAACAGCCTTTCCAGGGGTCAGACATGTGTGGGGCCTTCCCCCAGGCAGCAGACCATGTGTGCTCCAGGACTGGCTCCTGAGACCAAGTTTTGCACACTGCCACTGCACGTGCTTGCATGTGCATGGCCAGCTGTACGCTGTCCAGGCCGAGCCTGTCCAGCAATGATCGCGCCCCATCCTCTGTGTTCCTGCCTCTCCCGCCCTGTGTGTGCGCTAACCTGACAGCATTCACCTGATGTTCCTTCCCCGGTGTCAGATGATGCCTGGGAGATGTCCAGGGCCTGTGGTACCAGCTCCAGGCTGAGAGTGATGACACTGCTGGTGTCCCCCTCCTCCTGCAGCGTATGTCCATCGTCGTCATTGTTGTTGTCCAACTCCAGGAGCTCTGGCAGGGTGACCACCGTGTCTCCAAGCACAAGTCCACCAGTATGCATGGGGAAATGGCTTGCCTACCACCCAGTATCTGATAGAGCTCTCTATAGTATGAGCAGAAGTGTGGTCCTCCCCTGGAGCAAGAGCTACGCTCCCTGGCCCGGGTGTACCTTTGCCAGAGATCCTTTACTTTGCTCTGGACTTGGTCGAGGGTGCAAGGGTGGTGTCCCTTCTTGGCCAGAACTTTGGCTGTGTGCCCATAAATGTCCACATTGCGGTGCTTGGAGGTCACATCCTTCAGGGCTTCCTCCTCCCCGCACAGCTCCAGGAGGGACAGGATCTCTGGGCTGGTCCAGGAAGGTGCCTGGCATTTGTTGCCCCTGGATAGGTCCTGGGACCCCTGAGGCTGCTCCCTGGAAGGGCCAGGGGAGTCTCAGATGGCTTGTGGCTCTGCTATCTGTCAGCAGGTCTGTGGCAGTCAGAGACACGCAGTCAACGTCCTGCTGCAAGGCCAGCTTCTGGCACAAGACTTGTCCCAGGTGCTTGCAGCTTTAAGAGCTTCCATGAGACAGGAACTATAGAGCTGTGATTACTGTGGATGGAGTATCCACCAGGGCACCTGTGCTTTTCCCTGGAGGCCTCTTCTTTAGAAAGAACTGCCTTTTCCATGTTCACACATGCCTTTTTCTGAAAGAGCTCTTTCGGAAAAGATGCTCTTTCTCGTAGAACGAGGTTTACCAATGTTGGAAAACCCCCTGCGTTCTTTTGATTTTCTTTCGAACTAATGCGATTGCAGTGTGGACATAGGTGAAGGTTTTTTTGAAAAACAGCCCTTTTTCCAAAAAAACCCTGTAGTCTAGACGCACCCCAAGAGAAAAAAATGTTCTTTTGCTATACATTTTCGGAAAAGATGCTCTTTCTCGTAGAACGAGGTTTACCAATGTTGGAAAACCCCCTGCGTTCTTTTGATTTTCTTTCGAACTAATGCGATTGCAGTGTGGACATAGGTGAAGGTTTTTTTGAAAAACAGCCCTTTTTCCAAAAAAACCCTGTAGTCTAGACGCACCCCAAGAGAAAAAAATGTTCTTTTGCTATACATT